TCCTTGCCCCTTCACCTCCTGAGGCTGTGTTCCTGTCTGGCTTTGCCTGAGGATCAGCTCTGCGGAGTCTGGTTCTGCCAAACCCAAACCTGGCAGGCTCCCGCCAGGCTGAAGCACTCTCTCTGTCCCCACCAAGTGCTGTTCTCACTTCTGCCAGGAAGACATACCTTTGAGACCTGCACCTTAAAGGGGGATTTAGAGTCATGGGACATGGCTTTCATTATACTTGGCCACTTCTGAGCTGGTTCTATAAACATTTTATCCACATTAGGGAAAATGCAGGTTGAACATCTCGGATCTAAAAATCTGAAATCTGAACCTTTTGAAGCACCCACATGATGTTCAGAACATTTTGAAGTTTTGTATTAGATATGTTCAGCCAGTAGAGTCTGTGCAGATATTCCAGAGCCAGAATTCTGACCTCTGAATACTCCAGTCCCTGGCATTTTGGATAAAGAATACTCAGCCTGGACAGTGATGGTTTTAAGCTTGGGGTATGGAATCACATTTCCTGAGCAACCCAATTCAGATTATCCACGTGACCTGGAGAGAAACAATATTCCTAGCCTGTTCTTCTGTCTGTGGGATGGGGAGAAGGGTACCTCCACTGTGGGATTGTTGTGGGATACTTTTAAGACCAGCATTTTCCTATAGAAATACAATGCAAGCCACAAATGCAATTTACATTTTCCGGTACTTGTATTTGAAAGGTAAAAATGAGTGAAAATAATGTTTGATATAACTCAATTGATCTAAAATATCACCTTTTCAACATGTAATAATAAAAGTTACTGGGATATTTTGCATTTTTCTTTATTCATGTTACTGTAAGAAGTGGTGCGAGGCAGATGAGCCCACCAGGCTTGTGTAAAGGCAACATGGTGTGCACACTGCCATCTGCAGGGAGCAAAGAGAAGCAGGCTTTTTTTATAGGGCTTGGAAGAAAGCAAGGGACATTAGGCGGGAAGATCCTAGTAAACACCAGTGGACAGAGTTGTTTGGCTGTCTCATGCCTCCGTGGGCAAAGTCCTTGAGCATCTGATGTGAATGTTTGGGTGTCTTCGGATGCCCGGGTGTTTGGAAGATTCTTTTCCCCCTGTTATCTCTTTTACGGTGTCTTGTGTTTGCCCAGGGTACCTGAGCTGAGAACAGTGCCCTGTTGGCAGCCAGGCTGGGTATTGGGAGAGCCATGTCTGAGTTGAGCGTGACAGTTACACCGTTAGCTCAGCGTGCATATAACACTTGTCCCCATATCTCAGTTTGAGCCAGCCACATTTCAGGTGCCCAGTAGTTCTGGCTAATTCATGTTTTTAAAAAAAACCCCAAAACAACAAACCTCTCTTTGGCTGGGACTGAAGCTCAGTGATACGAGTACTTTCCAGGCATTTGCAAGCCCTGAGTTCAATCCCTAGGGATTAACCTTCAACAAATGTTGGCAAAATTATTGTTACTCATTTTAAAACGTCAAAAACTGGTAGACAAATACTTGTACTGCATGTCTGCATGTGTTGCCATGTGGAGAGATGATTCTGCCTGGAAATGAAGGATTTCCTCTCCGAGTTCTCAGTCTTGCCTGGGAAGGCGGCCTCTGGGTTTCAGGGTGAGGTCAGTGTGGGGTTTGTGGCTGTCTTTTCTTGAGGAGGTGGGAAGGGGAAATTGAATGTGCTTCAACTGCATGCTTGTCTCTGGTTTTGGCTCTTCTCTGTTTAATTGTTTGGAGTTGGAATAACTTGATTTTAAAACAAAACATATGGGCTGTGAGAAGTTGGGAGGGCCTTTGCTGGTGATGTAGTCCCGAAGGTATGTGTGAAGTTCGGGCCCTGGCTGTACACCCTTCGTCCGTACTGTTTTCTTTAGCTTCAAATTGTGTGCCTTTTTCAAATTCTTAAGCATTTGTTTGAAAGCCACAGTCAAAGCAGGAGATATTGGAGCAAGATTGTAAAGGAAATTGTGAATCTTCTTTAAATGTTATTTTTTTTTCTCTTTGTAGAAAACTGTAGGTTTCTAAGCTACTTACGTGATTCATGAAAGAGAAAAGCTTTTTGTTTCAAAGAACTGACAGCTTCAGAGAGGAAAATATGACCCCAACACCACTGAATTTTTCTGTTCTTCCTCCCTCTCGGTCTGACCCTGCAGGGGAATTTTCCTGCCATAACCAGATCCCACCTCAGGCTAGGGTTCTTTTTGCCTCTCAGTGCCTGCTGTGCATGACGAGGGGAGGAATCCACCATGTCCTGACGTCTGAATGCCGCAACTCTGTCCCAAGGAGGGAACTGGGAATTTAGAGCCAACCTTAATCAAACCTCTACTCAGAAGAGTAGAAGCTGTGTGCTTCTAAATAAGTTGTCCAAACTTTCTAAGCCTCATTTTCCTCTTTCCTAGAAAAGGGTTAACAATAATGCCTATTTCAAAGTACAGCTGTTATGAGCTTGAAAGAGACTTGTTACTGACGGAGGACTAAACTCAGTGCTGGGAAGGTAACAGAACATGCAGATGGCAGGGGCCCAGGCGGTAACACGCATGTCTCCCTCCAGCAGCAGCAGGGATGGCTGACCGCAGGGGCCCAGG